CTAATTAGTTGCTCTAGAGTAGAGCTGATTAAGAAGAACTGGGCCTAATTGATGGATTGGGCTGGGCTGTGGAGAGCTAAAAGGCTAATTAGCCCATTAGGCAGAAGGTAGAAAAGACAGGGGAAGGCGGGGAAGGTGAGAAAGGGAAGCTTTCAGAGTCACAGCCCAGCGGGATCTCCCAGGAGGAAGATCCTTTCTGTGTAATCCCTCCTTGGCTAAGGGAGTTAAGGACTGTAGGGAACTGCAAACAGGGGGCTGCACACCTCTGAGAAAATGGTGGGGAGAACACTGCAAAATAAACCACATGAGGTGCTTACCAGAAGAAGGTCTCCAACTATTAACAGAAGAAGGTCTCCAACTATTTGTACTTCAAAAGAGACCAGAATGAGACCCTACCCTGTCACACCTCTGCTTAAGGTCACCTGGTGTCTAGGATCAACCCATGTTAATGGACGGCAAAATCTTCTATGTGAAATTACATAAGTGAAAGTGAATTCCATACTTAACGGCATCTAAGTCAAAGTGCTCGGGGTGGTGGGTTTTTTTCATTTTTTTGTTGCACTGTGTTGAACAGTCACCGGTTATAATAGGACAAAATCAGGGTCCTCACAGTGGCCATTATTAATTGGTTTCACTGGGCAGGTATTTGTGTTAGGGCTGGTTGAAGAACAGGAGAAGGATTTTGCAAACAAATTTAAAATTGCTTCTTTTTGAAGGGTTTGCAATGGGTCCATTCTGTTTTCCAAAACATTGTTCATGACGTTTCTTTAAACCAAATGATACCTATATTTTTATCAAAAAAAAAAATTCGTAAAAATGTCAGTAAAAATTTGGTGAGAGACGTGAAAAATGGAACATAAAGTCAAAATGTTCCTTTTTTTGAATAAAGGCCACTTTTCGATGAAAATGCTTTAGTGAGAAAAATTTCAACCAGTTCTAATTTGAATGTAGTAAGAATCAAGTCTTGCATCATTCTTTGTGGTCTGTGACTGTGAGGTGCTGAGAATCCTTAACTCAAAGAGCATTTCACAGGACACATCCTGTTTTGCCCCGTGCTGGATTGGGGACTTAGCTCTCATTGATAGATATGGGAGTTCTTCCAGAGTAAAGCTTAAAATGACAGTGTTTGGTCATATCTAAACGTGTGTAAGTCAACCTGCAAAATCAGGTCTATAGAGTATGTAAAATACATGCTCTCCCAATTTATAAATGAAGGTAAGTGGATCAGGCTGACTTAACGAGGTGCAATTTGTAGCTCCCTAAGCCATCAAGACCTGGGGGTATTAATCCCCAATGGAGGGCAGCCAGCATCCACATCTCTACCCTATCCAAGGGTTTCCCATGGGAGATGGCAGCTCTGATTTCCACAAAGGATAACATAAAAGACCCCTGCCAAGGTGTTGTGCCAAATGAGTGAACCCAGACAGCACTTTTAAAAAATCTCTCTATTGACTCCTTGAAGATCAAAGTGGAGCAGACATTATAACCACCATGAAATGCCACAACCTGCTGCTTGCTGGATTTGCTTTCATCAAGGGCCCTGTGCCCTAGTTTATACCAGCAGAAGTGGGTGTAAAGTAGTGTACTCACATTAACATTACTTTACCTACCTTTAGTCCCAGACAAAGCAGTGATTTGCACTGCTTAGTAAATGACAGATGCCCTTAAAATGTGGTTTGGAAATATTTAAACCTCCATAAAACCTATCCAAATTGTAGAATTATACCATAGTGTCAATAGCTTATCATTTATGCAAAATTCATTTTACATGCATTATCAATCTCAGAATATTTTGCAAGTCCATTCAAGCCTAGAATTATGCCAAAAATAAATAAAAATAAAATCTCAGAGACTCAAATGTATAATCTATCTACTCCTATAACTCAGTGGACTAATCCAAAGGTGTCAACTCTTCCCAGTCAGAGGAAAATATCAAGACAATGTGTCCGATTCATTTACAAAAAAGGTGTGTATGTTTGCTTGTTATTTTGGAAAGGCTGAATTTTGCCTCCAAAGTAAAATCCATGATATTTATGATTTGTCTTTCCCTTGCAATGGTTGGTTTGATTTACTTAACCTATTCATAACATGGTATCCCACACGCTACCCTTCTAAGTCAGAGTGTGACGCCTACCAGCAGAAATAAACCAACAACTCAGCTGGTTGTGCATTTATGACCCTTTCAGCTCAATCACAGGATTTCTGGGAGTTCAGAGCACAGCAGTGCAGCTTCCTGATAACAACTTCAGATGAACTGGGCTTCATGTTCACAGCAGCAGAGAATTCTACTGGTGGCAAAAAAAAAAAAAAAAAAAAAAAAATCATAAAAAGAAGAGACCCCCGTCCACATCCACGCAGCTAGTTTCTTGTACAAAATTACTTGGCTCATTAGCTGCAACTACACCAACCCAGTCACATTAAGAAGATCAAATACAGAACAGCAGACACATCTTTAGGCATTAGTAAACTTATAAGTCTGTAATCACCCATTACTCTTTTCTTTACAAAACACACACACTGTCTTCCTAACACCATTAGCATTATAAAAAGAATGTGAAAACAATGAGGCAAGAGGCAGAAACTCAGAGACATAGACTTTAAAACACAGAGAAATAAAACACAAAGACTCATACATTCCTTGCACCCCCTGCCACTATGGGTGAAATGAGAAGAACAGAGAAGATCAAACTAACCTGTGCCTGCCTCCTGAGAAATATGCTATGGATGGTACTGTTTATAATAAAGCTGTTAGTCATAATTGTGTTGAGAAGAAGACAGAGTAAACTGGCTCCAAAGTATACACTTTTGGTTCAACAGATTCTGAGTTATTTCTTCAAAATAAAATGAAAAATGTGTGCCTCATCTGAAATAGATAAGTAGCAACTTCAGAAAGACTTGGATGCCACTGTGCACAACTTCTGGAGAAGTGGTACCCTGCTCTGACACATAACTCCATGTCTTACCCCAGGAACAGCTAGACATGAAAGAGCCAAGTGAGGATTCTGCAGTGTACAAAGAACCAACGAGTACATAAATATATCCATCAATATAATTGTCTCCTCTGATATTTAGGAAGTGTTACCAACTGAATGGATATGAATATGTAGACCCCATTCTAATGTACAAAGGTTACCAGAAATGTTAAGTCCAGGTATTCAGGGACCATTCCCAGGATGCATTCATTTTTCAGATGTCCCAACTCAGCCACAGGACAGTTTAGTTAACGATCCAGCTGTCTGATTTTCCAAATTCTCTTGTTTTATTGTATTTGATAGCAGACTCCATCCAGTCTCCAGGGGACTCTTCATAACAAAGAAATTCCTGTGCCATTAAGCCATCAGTCACAGAACATACATGAAGAATCTTCCAAAGTGACCTGAAGAGGCTTGCAGAGGACACGAGTGATGGCTCTTTGTGGTTGATCCCAGGACAGTGTGCCATGACTCTGCAAATGAAGCATCACTCTTTTGAAAAGACATCAGCCTTCAAGTCAAGATGGAAGTACTCAGCTATAGGAAATGATGCTGGCCAAACAGGGCTGGTTCCAGGGGACAGAAGAGGCTATGGTGGTGGCAGGTGCAGGGTGCTCCCACAACCCCCAAAACAAATAATCTCAGTGATCCCACATTTACATCAATACAAACACATTTCCCTTTCATAGAGTCATTTATTAAGACTGGGGGGAAATGACAATGATGCATTCAAACAAATATCAGCCCAGCTCAAGGCCTACATTTATTGACCCAACTGAACAATTTTCTCTATCCCTCAATGTAACAAGAAGATGAACCAACTGCCACATTTCCCCTGTTTCCTGGGCAGGCCTGCATGCTGAAGGCTGGAAGACACCAGGTGTGTGAATTCTCTAAACTATTCAAGCCTCCAAATCAGGCTGCATTACCAAATGTCCTTGTCCTCAGCCTTATTATTCTTAGTCCGAGATGTCCAGACTTCGGGATGTGGTGAAGTGCAATATCAGTATCAACCAAAATCTAAAAACCAGGCAACTCAGACTCAGCAACAGGAGAAGGTGGATGGGTGGCAAATGTGGTAATAAGAAATGGAAGAAAAACAGGGGTGAAGAAAGTTCTCATCTTCATGTCATACAGCTTCCCTTCCCTGACAGCAGGTCTTGCTGTGAAAGCTGTGATCTGTACACCTTTAGGTACGACAAAGAGGTAGCTGGAGCTGGTGAATAAAGCATTGAGTTCCTGTGTTTCCTGTGCTGTAGTCTTGGACTGATTGTGTGGATGTACCAGTCTTTGGGTCTCTTGCTCTTTTCAGGAAACAGGTTGGGGGTATGTATGTGCTCTACTTGAGGAATGAGTGTTGGTGGCAAAATGGCCCGATGGGGGGGTGGGAATGGGTAATTGTTATAATCCTAGTAAAATGCTTTCAGAATAATCTGGCGCTCAGCGGTGAGAAATGCGATGAAGCTGTAAGCAGTGAACTTACTTGTGATGTTTGATGTAGGATGGCTTACATAAGGAATTGGCTCTTGCACTGTTTTGGGATACCAAAGACATTGTTTATGTGTATGGGAGAGGAAAGCATCTCCTTCTTCCTGATGGGCATGAGAACAGCAATATTTTTTCTGTCATGGGTTAAAAAAATGCAACGTGCACATTATTTCAATCACCTGGACTCCCTCTTGCAACACACATAGCAGACTCCAGGGATGGATAGATGTGTGTTCGCCCAAATCATGTGCTAATGAGAATGATATTGCCGGCTACGTCGATGATGTCTCCTTCAAATCTGCTAGATGCAGGGCTAGATTCTCCTTACACTAATACCAATTACACATTGACTTATTGGAGTTGTTCCTGATTTACACTAGTGTATGTGAGAGGAGAAAACAGCCCATACAGTGTACAACATATTCTTTGACAGAGAATGATGAGTAAATGTTGAGCTGATGACTACTGTAGAGTGGCTGAATGTGTGTGTGCTTATGTATATGTAAATGTTGCTCTGATAATTGCACCAGTGTAACTTACTTCTCAAGGTGTCAACTCCTTGACCCTCTCCTTGGATGGTTTCAGTGGAGAATGTTTCTGCTACCATTCGCTCCACTGGAGTGAGGACAAGGGACTGTGGTGGCCCTCCTCCAGCTGCAGCTTTCTGATGTTCCCCAAGTTTTTTCCTCACTACCCCACGGAGATCTCGCCATTTGTGTTTCAGATCCCCCATATCCCTCCTGCAATACCCCAGGACGTTGACAGCTTGTAGGATCTTATTCCACACTCTGTGCTTCTTGGCAGGGGTCCCCCTTAAAGCCCCAAAAAGTAGCTGGTAGTGTTTGGTGACCTTCTGCACAAGCACTTCAGTCTCCTGTGGACTAAAATTGGGCTTCCTTGTCTTGGTCCGCGAGTGTTGTCCTTGACGTGGCGTTCCAGCAGGATAGTGTGTGAACATGGTAACATTCCCGCGAGCAGCAGGGTCAGAAGCAGAAGCAACCAACTGAGCAGCAATCGCAGACTCTGGTGTGGAACTTCTCTTGCCTGTCAACATGTTGAGGTTGGTTCCTAGAAAGGTACCAAATGCTGGGTATTTATATGCTATGTAATAAGGTAGTGTGTACATTCCAAATGAGGATTTGCGCACCGACCTTATATTGTTTCATACAAAAGCAGTGTTTCCCATACCCACGTCTGAATCCTGTTTGAAAATGTAAACTCCCGCCCACTTGCTGATCCATGGCTGTGCAAGCCTGTCACGTGTAAGTTGACATGTCAGCTAACACATGGGAAAAGTCCAATGCCACTGAAATTGCTGTCTGCATAACTACAGGAGTTAACTTCATTTCCTTCGTGAGAGCTTGTGCCAGTTATACAAAGGAGCAACCTCTCACAGGTGATCATTCACTGATTACCAATGCTGGAGTAAAACAGGACTGTTAGTGGGGATCCAGTATAGATTTATGGATCATGTCCTGCAATGAGGCAGGGAGGCAGACTAGATGATCCAGTATCTATATGTATTTGAAACTATTCGGGGTTGCTACTGCCCTGGACTGAAAAGATTTTTGTGCCTGATGCAATGGCAATCTGTGTCACTATTTTTTAATGAATCAGGCCCATCGCTATTGTGATCCTCAGTTACACGTTCATTGAACCACTAAAACAGAGGAAAATGCTGCTACTGGGAACACAGATCACAATTCTTAGGGATGGTGATATATGTACAGAAAATGCAAAATGTCAGAGCTGCATCCTCAAAGATTCTGCATTTTTCCTCCTTCATTCATTCCACCCATCCCTTGCATGGCAACATACTTCCCTCCCTTTAAGAAGGACTGTGGTCATGTTGACTCAGAAGCTAGCTAACTTGGTAGCTAGGTGAGCTACAGAAGGTTCCTTGAAAGAACACGGGTCTCCTCCCAGGGGTGAGCACAAACTGCCTTTCTATTGCTCCCAGCAAGCCCAGGGCAGGCACGAGTGAGTGTGAGATCTGATCGTGTATCATGGACACAACAGTATGTTTTGCTGGCCAGCCTGATACTCCCCCACTAAGTATTTTTTTTTTATTTCAATGAGGAGACACAGTTGCAGAACTTTCATCTCATGTGTATAACAGGCAGAAATTAAAACCCTGGATGTGGTGAGAACTCCCCCTTATCATCAATGCTGAATTTTCACTGTGGGTGTTTCAACTCTCTTTACCTTCTGATTCCTCTCACTTGTGTGTAACATAAACGTCAAAAGATAAACAGTGGGAACTTACAGCAACTGAGTAGGGAGATATCTTGACTGGCTGATTGACTGAAAAGCTACTCAGAAAGAAAGAAAAAGGTTAACAGTGCTACTGGAAAAAGAATGCCTCCTATATAAAAGCAGTAAAAGCATGATGCTGGTTTAAAGACAAAAGGTCCTACTTTCTACAGCTTTTTGTTTTCTCCCAGGCAAGTTAATATCGGGGCCACTTCCACCGCATGGGTAACGGTTTAAAAAATAAATCTAGCCGCAAGGAAGTTGGTGACAAGGGTCATGAAACTAACTGATGTATGTTGTCATGTCCCTCAAGGCATTAACATCTGATACGCCTCCTGAAGCCCAAGCGGATTCAGAAGTTATCTGTGCACAAAAAGAGCTGTCAAACAAGCACAAGCTCAAAAATGAATTGTTGCAGATGTCATCTTGATTTTGCTCTGTGTCTGTGAATGAACAGTCTGTGTGATGGCACTTGCACATTTCTGTTTGGATGGACAGGTCTGCAGCTTAATGGACGCTTGCCAAAGACTGTGTGCTTGGCAAGGAAACAGTGTGATCAATAGTCAGACTGGAAGTATTTCTCCTTTTATGTTTTCTCTCTTAGGGTCTGGTCCAACTCCCACTGACTTCTATGAGAGCTGCAAGTGCTCAGCATCTTTGCAAATCAGGCTTCTTTTATATTTAGGTCGCTAAACATGGATTTAAGAGTCTCACTTAGGCACTCAGGAAATTTTGGCAATTGTTTAAGGCACTGGATAGTTCATTTTATCTCATACATGCTGTAAAACAAGAGGGAGAGAAACATATCTGACCCTTCCTTCCCTTAGCTGTAACAGGAGATGGTCATGAAGGAGCTGAGGGGACAGGACATTTTAAAAGATCTGGATCTCCTATATTTTGCCTCCATTTCTTCCCACTGGTCACCACTCCCTGTCAATGATGCGCTTGATGCTGGAGAACAAACAGTCAATGACTAGGCATTTCCTCTGTTCCCCTGTGTTCCACCAATGCACAAGCATGCTGCCTCACTATGGTCCAAAACCCTGCCAGCGGGGGAGCAGGGAGGGGTCAGGCTCTGGACTTATGTTTGGACCGTGTGTGTGTCAAAATATTATGGCTCAAGTTCTATTAAGCAGAATCAAGCTATACATTTTTCTGCAGCGACAATAATTTTTCATTCCAATTCCAGAGGAAGATTAACAATGTCTTCCCATTCTAGTTATGGGTATATCTTCCCCACTCTATATCCAACAGCCAATGGATTGTTCTTCCTGTGAAATCTATTTTTATGCTACCACCACCAGTAACTATCCCAAATATCACAGAGGACAGCTTTTCAAATCCAAGGAGATTTCCATGGACAAAATCCCCTCTAGTACAAGACGAATGGTCTCAGTGGCAACTCAGTTGTCTTAAGCAGCCATGGCATTGGGATCATTTTGGCCCCTAAAACTCTTTTGTAGGTGAGTTGCCACCTCAGATCTGAATGGCAAAATCAGATAATAAAGTACATACCTTAACACTAATGGTGATACCTACCTATTGTGTCGCCTTGTTCATAAACCATGGAGGCCAGGTCTTTAATGATCTGGTTTACATCCAACATGTCACTCTGAAAAGGTGAAAGGTCACAGTTAATGATCAACAGATACATCAAAACCCAAAAGAGTTGCCCAGTTTCTCAATCTTGGAAACGTATTTTTTCTTCTGCATAGAACAGTGATGACCAAATATTCTCACTATACCTTAAAAGGGCCCTTAAACAACACCATAATTTGTTGCACTTCAGTTACCAAACTTTGCACCTGAACCAATTGAGTTGCCATGTAAAAGGAGGAGGTCGAAAAATTAGACTACCCAGCTGCTTAGAATAACTGTGCAGCACTAAAGAACAAAAACCAGTCCTCCCCTATCTCTAAGGAGCTGTGTTTGAGGGATACATTCATCTAGGACAGCTGATTCTTCTGTACTAACTAAGTTCTCTCAGGCTACGTCTTCACTACCCGCCGATCCGGCGGGTAGCAATCGGTCTATCGGGGATCGACTTACCGCGTCTAGTGAAGACGCGATAAAATCGATCCCTGATGGCTCTACCGTCGACTCCGGAAATCCACCGCGGCAAGAGGCGGTAGCGGAGTCGACGGCGGCGCGGCAGCGGTCGACTTGCCGCCGTCCTCACAGCCAGGTAAGTCGACCTAAAATACGCCACTTCAGCTACGGTATTCACATAGCTGAAGTTGCGTATCTTAGGTCGACCCCCCGCTGTAGTGTAGACCTAGCCTCAGTGTTGCGTGCTTGTGGTGAAATACCATTATTAAGTGAATGGAGAGCTGATAGAAAGAATGTCAGATTTTGAAATCTCTTTATCTTTAGGTCAGTTAGGGCAAAGCGATGTGATGAGTGGATCTATTTACACCTCTTCAAAGTGTCAAATAATTAACTAGTTAAAGAAACAGTAACTCTTTTGAATTAAAAAACAGCAACTGCAATATTGTTTCTAAATGAGAGCCTGTAACAAACTAGCATGTAAGAACATCATCAGATCTTAGCTTCATGTAACTCTGGCTCTCAGAAGGATGATTAATCTGTAAATGGGATAATACTGAACACAATAGAGAAAAGGCTCCTATTAGCATACCAGAAAAGGACACTCGGACAGAACTTGTTGCTATAACTTTTGAATTCTTATGGCGCCTTTCATGCAGAAAGATCCGACTTTGCTTCACTATCTATCTTAGGACACAAAAACATTATGCTGAGTGTGAGTGAAGGCTGCTCAGTGTATAACAGAACTATCGCAACATTTTAATACAGGTGCCACCATAATATAGCACTTCTGATACATAGATAAATCGGGGGGGTGAGGAGGAGGGGAATTAACCAATTGATGCCAAATACAATGCATAGCACCAGAGCGAGAGCAAACCCTTACTCCTGTGTGAAGTGTCACTGGATCATTAATGTCCATACGGAACAGACCATCTCTCAGGACATGATCCACGCATGGTAACCACTTTTGCCAGTATTCACTTTCCTTTGCTCCGCAGAGAGGTGCATTGGCATAAGGCATATAGGAGAGCAACCCTAGTTGACTGTAAATCCCAGGGGAGGAGCACCTTGTTGATTCTACTGGGCCACTGAGGGGAAAAACACACATACATATTCCCCACAACACATGTGGGAACACTCTCATGGAGAAGTGTAGTTTCTCTCTGCCCTCAGACTCATCCCACGTGTTTTCTCACAGGAGATGATTTCCTCCCCCAACTTTTAAAATCACTTTTAAGAGACTCCCTCCCACAGTTAACTGAACAGTAGGCTATTCACCTACTTTAAGCCTGCTGGGAGTAGAATCTGTGGTGCAAAGGAGTCTAAATGTCCCCAACCTGATGGTCAGACAACTAAACTATCCCCTTTGATTAATTTATAAATGGTTCCAAGTGTATCTACATTTGTTTTTGAAATTTATTATGTAATTGTGAGTAGAACAGTACTTAATTATATAATGCAGTCGAATCTCATTAATTTGTAATGAAGCCTGGGAGAACCATTGTGAATTACTGAATATGGCAAATTTCCGAGCAAGTGAACAAATACGAGAAACAAAAGCTAAAACACCAAAGGATAGGGTAATGCATCACAAAATGCACTGTGCTCGCTTCCTTGTCAAGTGCAGTCTAGCTTTAATTATGTATGAGAATATTCATAACTAGTAAATGTTCTGCGGAATATTTTATAAAAGTAATGAAGTTTAAGTAACACGAGATCACACTCTAACACTATGGTAGTAAATCATTGCCAAGAAGGCAGGTGCCACTGTAGTTTTTCTATGGGGAGTGAGGATTAGCAAAGTGTGAAAGAAAGAGATTGCACGTGGGGATGGGGGTGAAGCAACATTCGCATAGGTCTCTTGGGACTAAATACATCCCAGTTAAAACTTGGTTTCCGTGAGTTGAACCAGAGAGGATTTCACCTGTCTTTCAGTCTGTCTGTCCCAGCAATGGAATGGAATCACCATAGCATCTGTGTACTGATGTTTGCATCAGTAGCTACATTTGGTTTCATGGTGACTATTTGGCTATAATGCAAAATACATCCCTGCAGTAATTACACTGAAGTCAATGACAGACAAGTGAACAAACTTTGTTTCAGAAGGATCAAATGACATACCGCCCAAACTGATCCTCAAAAGCTAATTAAACTGCATATATTGTTGTGATACTTGCAGATTAAACTCAGTATATTACAGTATAAACAAAAAGAGAAGAACTACAGAGATAATGTATTAAACATTGTTAGTCACACGCTGTACTGCTTGCTGCCTATCATACCCAATTATTTATTAGAGCAAAATAGACCCCCCCCGCCCTGTGAGTCCAATATCTCCCTTTCAAACGTCCATAACAATGCTTGAAGATATTGCTACACATCGGTGCAGCAGAGAAGGTACCATGGACACCAGAAGGTAAAAGGCTAGCAAGGAAATGAACTTAGAAATTGTTGACTATGGTATTAAAAAGCAAAACAGAGCAAGTTGCAAAGTGGTGAGTACAGAATAATATAACCCACAGCATGGAATTTGTTGAATAATTTAACCAGTCACTGCAAAGTGTCCAAGTAACTGAAATATGTTAGCAAACAAAAAACAACTTTTCAGAACAGACAATATCTGAGAGTTACATTCTCAGAGCTTCCTGCCAGGAATGAGTACATCATGATGAACCACTGAACTTTCCTGTCACTGGGAGTTTGCCTGTAAAATGAAAGTACTTCTATTTTCCAAGTTTCTACATATTATGCATGTTTCACAATGGAATATAGTGTCTCACAAATCCCCTTCACTTCATAGAAACAAGAAACCCTTGATTTACTAGAGCTTGCTATTGTTTCACATATTCTATGCCTGGTGGTGGTGGTGCTGGGTGGTTGGTGATGGTGGTTGTTGTTGTATTGTTATAGGGCCTAGCAGTCATGGTCATGGACCAGGACTCCATTGTGCTAGATGCTGGACAAACACAGACCAAAAGGACAGTCACTGCTCCAAAGAGATTACAATCTAAGTATAAGACAAGAGAAACAGCTGGATACAGACAGAGCAACAGAGTACTAGGAAACATGGAGACCACACACTCATGTATGTAGGTCCACGTATATTTAAACACACGCTTCTCTCTTAAGTGGATTAACATTACAGGACGTTGCAGAGGAAGCATGTGTTAAGGAGGGATTGAAATGAAGAGAAGATAGCCAATTGAACGCTGATCCAAAGTCTACTGAAGTCAATGGAAAGACTGCCACTGACTTCACTTGGCAATGAATCAGGCTCTTAGTGCAAAAGGAAAGAAAAGGCATTCCATGTGAAAAAGCCAGCACAAAAAGTGGAAGGAGGCCAAACCGGGAGAAGGATACAGATGACGTGCCAACCAGAATGACTTGTGTGAATAGGGAGGAGGACAAAAGGAGATCTGAGATGTATGCAGAGATGAAATTGTGTCGCAGCTTGAAGGTGAGGATGATAAGCTTTAGTGAGCAAGAGGAAGTCAGCGTGGAGAATCTGAGAAGGGAATTACATGGTCAGACTGGTAGGAGAAGATGAAGATTTTTAGCCGGCAAGGTGCTTGGTGCCTCTGGAAAGCAGTGCGTGCTTGCCATCTGCCAAATGATTTCAGTGGGAGTTGTGAGTGCTCTGCACCTTGAATGACCGGGCCCTTTATACTGTGTGTAGACTAGACAGAGGAAGAGAGGCAAACAGACGTGGCAAGGCGGGGGACGGGGGACACAAAAGGGATGGTTGTAGTAGCTGAGATAGGAGATGACCAAGGCAAACATAATATATGCATAATTTGCATGATCTGTAAATATTGTTTAACGCTCTCACACTTCAAGGAACACAAACAAGCTGCATTAGACCTATCATACATATAGAGAGGGAAGAACAACAAGCAAAAAAAAAACCATCCTAGAAAATCACCAGGCTCAGATGGTTTTACAGGGATAATTTACAAATTCTTTTAAGAACTATTAACTCCCCGGTTAACTAGAACGTTACACCTCCCAACAGAAGGCTCATTTTAACATGCCCACATTTTCAGCATTCTTAAAGCCAAAGAGAGGACAGCCTGGATCATAAATCCTACCAGCCCATTTCAGCACAGAACATACATTTCAAACGTATTCACAAAAACAGCAATGAAAATGTTAGCTCCTCCGACAGCCATTCTCATTCCTAAGGGTGTCAAGGTTTAGCAACGGGGCAAACATTTACATTTGTCCCCACATGTCATTTTACTCTCAGGACACTCTAAATTCCAGCCACAAGAACAATGCTAAATAAACAAGAGGTGACTTCATTTGCATTCCAAAGGGACAGGCCAGGGATGCCCTCACTGTCCCTTCTCATTCACTTCTGGCCACATCTTGCAGTTCTTGATCGATATTGACTTAATCCTTTTTCAGGGAAGTGTCCCACAGACATCAAAGGGAGTTTGCCTGAGTAGGGAGAGAATAAAAAACTGAGTAGAGAACTCAGGGTTTGTCCCTTTAGAGGGAGAACCTCTAATCTTAAACAAATTGGATAGAGGAATCGAAATTAACTACTAAATTAATCATGTC